TGCCCGGAGTGGGAAAGAGGCCATCTAAGTCCTCATCTTTCTGGACCAGGTCAAGAATTGCAAATAGTGACTTTGATTCATATGATGCCTCGTTTTTCGAGTGTTTGGGGTCCTCCAGGGACTTGTATATGTCATTGTGACAGGTTGCTGCAAGCCCAAGTGCCTCCATTGCGATTTCACGGCTGTCCATTTCGAAGGCGTACGCAAGATGGATTAATGGCAGTCCAACTAGACAGACGGTTAGCGTGTGAAGAGTCAAGCCAAGCTTTCATGAGGAGTATGATACATACGAGAAGCCATTATAGAGTCAAACATGGGTTCCTTGTTGGCAAACAGGTACTCGGCTACAACTTCCTTCCAGTCATAGCCGAGGTGGACCATTTGATCTTCAAAAAAATCCACGAACGCTCGATCAAATCTACTTAGTGTTAATGAAGAGTCCCAAGCGGAAAAGAAAAGGCTGGGACATGTCCAGCAACCCACCCTCGACATCCCAGGTGGCCTCGCCAGTCAAGAGTAGTGATTTCTGCCGGTGATTCCTTCCATTTAACTAGATCAGACACTTCCTCCTCATATATGCGGCCTAAAGTATCGGCGTCTGCACCTTGCAGGAAGGAGGAGCTCAAGAGCTGCAGACAGGTCAATGACATGGACTAATGACGAGGAATGCATACATAGGAAGCTCTCGACACCAATGCAATGCAGATCACTCACATGTATTAACTGGTTAGGGAAGTTGCGGCAGTCGAATAGCGAGTTCTCGACATGATTCAATTTCAGTAGGTGCTTGAATGCCCGGTCTGGCTTGTCTTGAGCTGTCTCGGTTTCATGGACCTTGACCGGGGGCAGATCAATGGCCTGAGTGGGCGAGGACGAAAACAAGCCAAGCGATGGCAATGATGGCCATCGAACAGTAAACATGGTGACGATGAGTGTGGCCGTGTGTAGTCGTTTGGATGGGACTGTTGGGAAATCGTCACGTGAAGTAGAAGTTGATATCCAGGGATGACGTAGCAAATTTTGGGTTATCAATCTGGTCACATGACAGCCTTGTGAATCCCGTCGGGCGGGACGTTTTCCAGCTTGCTACTCGGCTTGCCTCCGAAAAAAGTAAATATACAAAAACGCTCTTTCAGTGGAAAATGACGACTGAGGTAGATAATTATTTAAATATGGAATTTTGTATCATTTTAACACCTATTACTGTCCCTAGATAGTAAATAGCAGTTGGCTGAATTGCGAGGTATTCTATTTGAAAACTCTACGCTTTGCGCCATCAAGTTACATTATGTGTAAGATATCCCGGCCATCCAGAGCTCTAAGCCTTATGTTGTTCAACAACTGGAATCGGCTGCTCTGGCTGCGCGCCAGCCTCTCCATTGAAGACTTCCACTGAGATACGGGGACCGACGAAATTCTTGCGTCCATCCACAATCCATTGGATGACAGAAATGAAAAAGACAATACCAAATGCCGCAACACAGTAATCTATCAAACCGAATTAGCTTTGCTTTTGCATCGTAAGAAGAGAGAGCCAACTCACTCATGTTGCTACCAGTGGCAGGCAGGTCAGGGGGGAAGAGAAAGAGGACAGTAGTTAGGATAATGTACAGCAACGAGATCTGAGAAGTTTTGGGTCAATAATAGTTTCGGTGAAACTGCAGGGGAGGATATCATACGATGTTGACGGTCCAGCCAAGGAATTCTGGCAGGACAAATGAGCGCTCCGGTAGCATTCTTCTTCCTCGACAGCAGTTGACTGCAATTGGCATTCCATATGAGATACCGAGCAGCACCACTGACGCTGAGACAATAGCATTGAAAGCACTTGGAGATGTTAGCAAGATCCAGGATAAAGTGTTATGCATGTACTTACCTGGATGATCCCAAGAAGATACAACCGAAGATAGTGATGAGAGCAAGGTTGAGATATAGGGAGTTCAGGGGGACATTTAGCTTGGGGTGAATACGAGCGAAGAAGGCAGACGCAGGGAGACCGCCATCACTATAACTACTATCAGTATAATGGCCAATTTCGAAAGATAAAATGCCCATGAAAACGTACCGCGCGAAGGCGTACACCATGCGACTGCTAGTGGTCATAATGGCGATTGCAGCGAACAGAGCACAGACTAGGGGGAAGCTTGAGAGGGTGTCAGCACAACAAGAAAGTGACGGAAGATCAGTGAGGCGTACATCAGGAGACAGATAGCGCCGGCGTTGTTCGAGGTGGCATTCTTCAAGATTGCAAGGAGCGGAGTTGCCGCAGAGTCAATAATGTTGTTGATATCGCCAGCCACTAAGAGCAGTACAATAAGGAAAATTGCTCCAGTGACGGTACCGATAACGACACAAGCGATCATGATCTTAGGTCCCTCAACCGAGGGGTTGGGAATTTCTGTAGTCCATTAGCCTCGAATCCATGATAAGTTCAAACCTCTGAAAGCTACCTTCAATCATGTGGGCGACGCCATCAAAGCCAGTAACACCAAGACCACCTTGCAGAAGCTATGAATATGTTAGATATGCTCATGAATTTTCGCATGAATTCTCGCATGAAACGACATACCCCAAGCAACCATGCGACTCCATCAGGCCCTAAAAGAGTCAGTTCAAGAACCATAGATAATGACAAGATGAAACTTACATCCTGTTGTATTAATGAAATCGGTGAAGACAAATCTGTTTTTTGTTAGTCTTTCGGTTCTAGGGAGTTATCGACCAGACACGACATACTTCGCGGAGTTATAATTTGGCGAGGCACATGAAAGTACGGTGATACAAATGATGGCAAATCCTGCCAGGGACCAGATGACTGTGGGAATTAGTAGAAGATCTTCAACGGCTCGATATAGGATATCTCACAAGCACCCTTAGTGACAAAGGGCATAATGTCGTTCATAAAGGCGTTGACGAGGAAGGCAACGACGTTGTAGCCACAGTAGATTAGGAACTGGTGCCAGCGCTGGGGTTCGTAGCTCTGGATGTGAAAGTCAGTCAAAGATATCGATATTGCAGCCTAGTACAACCTACCGGGTTCATGAGAGAGATCACACCCAGGATGAGCTGACTGCCCAAAAGACCGGCAGTTGCGACCAGCGCAACCCAGCCAGAGCAGTTGATCCAGCCCGTAATCCAGGAAAGAATTGGCATCCATTTTCTCCATGAAGTCACAGCGACCCAATGATATTGGCCTCCAGCGGTGGGATATGCAGAAAGAAACTCGGCTAGGGAAGTGGCCATGCACAGGTTACAGATTCCTGCTGTAACAAGACCTATTGGGATTCATGTCAGCTCTAGATCTTTAGGATTTGACAGACAGCCGCGGAAATACATACCCCAGACAATACTAGCGCTGCCTCCCGAGGGCAAACTGAGCCCCAAACTTGCCGACAAAGCGGTCCATGACTGTTCAATGTCAGTTGGTGATTCATATAAAATTTAGTATACCGGTCGCGTAACATACATTTAGAATGGCGAAAGCAAGACCCAGCATCGAACTTCAAAAACGAAGACACAGGTTAGCACAGTCCAGGAATTCATGTTCCATTGTAGCACATACATCATGGAGAAGTTTCGCTTCAGCTCGGACTTATGGCCCAGCTGAGCCAGCTGAGCATCATCGCTATTATATTCGTCTTTGTCCATGGCGAGTGATATGTACCACGGGCAACAAGTGATGAAGAGAAAAAAATGTCAGACAAGGAGAAACATGGGATCTTAAGCAGGCCCCGAATGGAACGACGTGATGACAGATTCTCGAATATCAATTCCTCTTCTCTCAATCTTCTCGTTCTGCACTACCGTTGGCTCCCCGCGGGGGAATAGACCGAGTACGGAGAAGTTTTAGGTAACTGATTTGGGGTATGGAACTTCGGAACACGAAAAGAAGATAACCAGTGGTGTCTGTGACTGGTTGGGCGGACCGAGAGCGGCGATTTCGGCCAGTTACAAGTTACACGATCATCGGGCCCTTGGATTGTCGCGGACCGATGATCCAAGGCTTGCGGCGGCAGCCCCAGTGCTTATGCCCTCGTCGACATTTAATTGGTCAGATTTGGACCCATATGTCTGACTAGCGGGAAGAAATGCAACTGGGGGAAGTGGACGATCAGTTGGAGACGGATAAATAGCGAGGATATAGTGTGTGATGTACGTGACAAATGAAGGTATATAGTTTCCAAGGGCTTGGCCAGCATTCTTGGCTTAACTTTTAGGCTATGATATTCCTGTCTCAGGGAATTGGGCTGAGATGATGGATGGTAGCCAAATCTATGTGGAGCGGTGGGCCGCAAACCTTCCAAGGTTGCTATCTCTTCGAGCGACAAATACTGCTATGTAAAAAGATATCTTACCTTCACCGAGTGGGTGGACTCCGATCTTTCTTATCCACCATATATTGGATCGTTCTATCAGTACCCTTACAAAGTGGCAAAGAGTGCCCCGGTGGAGCGTTCCATATTGGACCTTGACCTTATTTTGCCCCGAGCGTATCATCCCTTATAACCGGCTATCTTGATTTGACTCTCCGAAATACAGAATATTCTCTCTAAGGGTGTTTCAAATCACTCCACTCGGAAATCCCGAAGTCAAATAGAGATATCACGCCAATATCATGCCACAATGTCCTTCTTTTGGCAAGATAAAGAGACAAGAAAGGAAAAAAAGAAAAGATAACAAGGTACTATTGAGAATGGAAGGGAACATTTACATAACACAAAGGAAAGCAAATTTGCCATTGATCGGCCACGCACTTTCATTATCCGCAGGATGTACAAATTGCATACATTGTTCGCCCCCAAGCCACATCTTGACATCATCCATGCAAATTCGAATCCTCAAAAATTCCAACCTTTCATTATTCAAATGGCAAGCCATGACTTGTTTCGGCAAACGCAGCCAGGTAAACGGGCCAGTAGCTCCTTTGACCGACCACAAATGTTTTGGAGATCATGAGGCCTGGCTGGCATCACTCCTTGCATCCAGGGAGATATAGCCACTTATGAAATCTCATTCCGATCCTCAGCATCCAGCAGGAACCAAGCCCCAATGCAGTCGGTTCGAATATGCTCAGTTATCTCGTCCGTAGTCCACACACGAAAGGCGCGACGGAAAATTGCAAACGATCGCTGATACTTGTCGAGGGCAGGGTCAAGCCCCATCATCTGCATGTAGTTGTCGGAAATTGATTCCATCTTGGGGTGCGTGAGCATAGCAGTGCAACCACGACACGAGTAAAGAACTCTGCGCGTATTGTCTCGATTGACGACAGGCACCCGACAGGCAACTTCATGGTGGTGAGCATGTTGATGATAATTTCCCCTCGAGATGAGCAAACGAAGCTTGACAGGGTTCGGGGAATTCAGGGAAGCGGCGCGAAAAATGTCATGCTGGTTTTGGACCACAAATTCTTCGTCATCGGGGGTACCCTGTTCTTCGTCTGTGTCAGGACTTGACGGAGTACCCTCCACAGCGCGCTTAATACCCCTGCGGGTGCCATACAACTCCAGGGCTTTGGTCAGCGCTACTTTGACAGGAATAACCCAGGCGCCAAGATCCCCCAAATCAAAGCCATTCTTGTTCAGCCTCGGCAGGTACATGGTTTGGGTATTAATGAGATCGGGTAGGTCAAGGCCGAAGATTATGGCTGCCTTTTCCACGGGGAGACACCAGTATGCATGGTTTTCGTGCACGCATGGATGGCAGATACGCTCCATCGTCGGAAGATAGAGTTGAACAGACGCATCGCCGCATACCACGCACCTCTCACGGATAATCGCCTCTTTGAGCTCATGAATGGACCAGTTCTTGTGGATTTGAGTCTTTTTGAGAATCTTCGGCATACCGGGGGCCCACTGCCTCAGATATGAAACCGGACTTTGCTGCACAAAGTGATTGGCGATGCGGTTGACGTATGACAGACTTATAGCACTTGGCATGTCCAATTTGTTGACAATTAGGTCCACGACTTCGTTCGGGAGACATTTCATATTTCCCAAGTCCTCCGTAGCCTTCTCCTTGGATCTGATAGCCTCTGGCACAGGCCGTACCTCGATATCGACGATTCCAGTTTCCAAGCTACGGGGGCTTTTTGCGATGACTTGTAGCAGCCTAGCAAGCTCCCAGCTATTGGCAAAAGCCCGTCCCCGGGACAACTGATCCGGGTCCAGCTTGATACTCATTCTGGCAGATCAGCGTGCAAATCACAATGTGAAATTGAATGTGTTGGAGAGACGGCAATAAGAGAGGGCTCTGTTTGGAGAAACGCGCGCGGTCAATGAATGGAAGAGCCCTATCAGTGTCGCGTTAGTGGATGATATGGATAAACATTCTATGTGGATGATAACGCGAACCTGATAACACGCGGGTTGAGAAGAATTAAAAATCGATGGGAAGAGATTGAGAAGGAAGGAAGATGTGAAGAAAAAAGGTGAGGAGTGACAAGGAGAAACAGACACAAACATCCAAGGTGTGGAGGGAAAGCGAATGGGAAAGTACAAGACTGCAGCCTGGCATAACAAACACGATGCCAGTGAGAAGCGGAACTTTCCTATATTTATTTATGATATACTATCTTGTTTAGAGGCGAGGCTCTCAGTGAGCTCGTGGTCGTGGACGTAGACAAGGCTAAGCTAGAGGTCATCCTACACCATTGCGCCTTTCATGTGCTCTCCCACTCTGATCTGATAGAGCATATACTGGCCCATGGAATGCTTGAACTTGGTCTGGAGCCCACAGACAAATTGGGGGATACCTTAAGGTTACATATACGATGATGAGGTGATTGAGGTGCTCTAACTAGCCCCGAAGCTAAAGAGTTAGTAAGGTTGCTTAAGCGTATATTTCGTTACCTCGCCGGTACGAAGCTTCTCACGATCACTTCCTACCCTGGTATGCAAGATACAGCAATATCTGGTTATTGCGACGCCGACTGGGTTGGCCCGTATAGCGAGAAAGGACTCTCTACATCTGGTTTCCTTTTCAAGATGGCTAGTGGAGCGATCTCTTGGACTTCGAAGAAACAGCTCTGCGTCGCTCTCTCCACTACAGAGAGTGAATAAATTGCTAAATCACTTGCTGTACAGGAAGGAATTTGGTCAACTCAATTGCTTACCGAACTGGGCATTAAAGGATTTCCTAAGAAACCAATTCCTATCTTCGCCGACAACAATGGAGCAATTGCTTTGGCTTCAAACCCAGAATTTCACGCAGCCATGAAGCATATTGCCATTCGCTTCCACAGGCTCCGAGAAAAAGCTGTAGCCAGTAATTTCGAGTTCATTGAAATCCCCACAGCGGAAATGGCTGCAGACGGTTTCACCAAACCCCTAGGGAAACATTGTTACAGCGGTGGATCACACAGATGGGTCTGATGGCCTATAAAAAAGCACTGCAAATTTGAATTTCCGGTTGGCATACAAAGATGGGGGGCAGATTCATGTCACAAAACTGGTTTTTATCGAGCAGGAGAGTTCTTTACTATGCAGGACGACTATGCACTAGTCGTCGGGGGTGTTGGAAGTCACAATGACTTCTGTTGGCTCCTAGTTTTTAGTCTAGTCAATGCCTGTAGATAGTTTCTCTCTTCTTCACGCATTTCAGAGATTTCCAGTCATATCTACACCTTCATTGTAGATACTCTAGATCCTCTCTCAACAACCTTTGAACTTGCAAGACTGTGATAACAAAGGAAACTCGAAATAACAATACGATAGCCATGCTCACAAAGTAATTTAGAAAGATTCATGGGTTTAAAGATCTCAGGATTCTCTCCATTCTGGAGCTGCAGCGTTGACCTGCGTGCACTCATCGTAACAGAAGGCTAGGGATGTAGCAATAGCAGAGGAAATAATAAAAAAATGTACAGATAAACAATAGGTATATCAAATCAGCATAGTAGATACAAAGGCCGCCTGTCTGGTCGGCTAGCTGAACAGTGACGGCACGTTAAAATATACGGACGGTGCCAGATTTTCTACTCAGCCCCCTGCATGGGGTTCTTCAAGTGATCAGTCCGAACAACATAATCATCCTCATCTTCATCCTCATTGGCATTGGCACTATATGCCGTGTCCTCATCGTCGCCATCAACAGATCCATCGGATTCCGCACCGGTGCGGGACTTTCCCTTCTTGCTGACGCTCTTTCCTTTCCCTTTGCTGCTGGTTGTTGATTGGCCGCTGACACTGCGGACAAGGTTGCCTGGCCATTTGCTCAGGCCTTTGATACGACCGGGAATACTCTCGGCTGTGTGACTGTCACCATTCGTGACCGGTGCCTCTTCTATTGTGGCTGAGCCGCCCAGGTTAAATGCCTCCATTGCCTCTGCGATTGTCTGTGGCGCGGCAGCGGCGGGGTCTTGCTTTGACTTGTCCACTGCTTCAAAGGTTTGGCGGATGCGTTCAAAGTGTTCGAGTTCCTTGGCACTGGAAGGGGTCAGTATCATAGTATTTTACCAAGAGGAAGGAGACAAGAGGTAGAGTGGGATGGGAGAGTGGAGTGAACACATACCTAACACTTGGCACAAGCTCTCCTTGAGCAGACAGGAAATCCTCCTCGGTTACCATCACATTCACATCCTCCTTCGTAGCGAGATGATCAAAGAACCAAGCAGTGCTAACAGGACCATTTGGCAGAGTCTTGATCTTCTCATCGACTGCAGTGGCCTTTCGAGTGATGGCTTTCAGCATGGCATCAGAGCAGAGTGCATAAAGATCAGCACCAGTATAAGTCAAAGGGAGCTGTTCCGCAACGCGGTCAAGCGAGACATCGGGGCTGAGAGCAAACTTCCGCGTCAGAGCCTCGAGGATAGTTGCCTGCTTCCTATGTGTATCTGATACGCCCAGGTAGAGCATCTTGTCGAAACGACCAGGGCGGAGAAGTGCAGTGTCAAGCAGATCGGGACGGTTAGTCGCACCGATGACAAAAACTCCACCACTGTTCTCCTCGCCGCCGTTCATTCCATCTAGCTCTGCGAGCAGCTGACTGACGATACGGTCCATAACACCACCGCTGTCTCCCTGGTTACCACGCTTGGGGGCAACGGAATCCAGCTCATCGAAGAACACAACGCAGGGACGAGCATCCCGAGCGCGCTGGAATACCCGGCGCACGTTCGCCTCAGATTCACCGATGTACATGTTAAGCAGTTCGGGGCCCTTGACGGAGAAGAAGTTGAGAGAGAACTCGGTGGCAATGGCCTTAGCAAGCAGAGTCTTTCCGGTGCCGGGCGGGCCATAGAACAGGATACCGCTGCGCTTCTTCATGCCCTTGGCGAAGAGCTCGGGCCGTTCGAGTGGCAGCTGAATGGTCTCGACCAAGGCATCCTTAACGTTAGTCAATCCACCAACGTCATCCCAGCCAACGTTTGGAATCTTAGGTGCACCAATTGAATCAGCAAAGTTCTTCCGCGCAGCTTCTACTGCAGCGTCAAAGTCTGCCTTGGTGACACCTCGTGCACCGTCGCCTCCTGCCAGCAGGACGTCTCTGACAAAGACCTCCGAGCCGGAGAGCTTCTTGCTAGCCTCGGCCAGACTTTCAAGGCGAGCTGTTCTCGCCCCGGCAGCTCGTTCCACGACGTCGACCAGATCTCCTGCGACAAGAGCTGCGGTCTTCAGAGCAATAGTTCCCAGTTCCACGTCCGCAGACAGTCGGATACTGCGCTCTGCGACGGCATTTCGCAGAATGCCTTCGCGCTCTTTCTCCTCCGGCGCACCCATCTCGAACTCATGGGTGATGAGGCTGCGGATACCTTCGGGGATAGTTTCAACATCAGTGGTGGTGGCAATGACAACTCTGGCATCGTTCAGGATATCGCTCATTGCCGTGACAATGCGATCGGCGGTTAGAACCTCGATATGCCTGATCAGCAATGCGGTGCAGTTTGCTCCGCAGTGGAAAGCCCGTTCTGCTCGAGCTTTGAGATATGCTTCAGTCTTGACATCGCCACCATTTGCGCCGCCTTCTGTCAAGATGTCGTACGCATCGATGGGGAATGTGTGGAGGCCGATATCCGAGCACGCTCGGGTTGCGATGGTTGCCTTGCCAATATGTCTTTGCTGGGATCTGAGGAGAATGAAGACGGGCTTCATTCCCAGCTGAATAGCCCGCGGACTTGTGGCAGCAGACATCAGATCACGGATTCGCTGCTGCAATAATGGGACAAAGGACTGAGGTGGATCAGCAACAATGCCATGCGGTGTTGGGACATCATGGACGCTCTTTGGGATCGTCTTGACCCCCAGCCAATACTCCCACCCGTTGCCCAACACGCCGGGAACTCGGCTGACGTCGCTCCCAGCCTGTACCATGCGCGTAGTCGCAGGATCAAGTACAGCAACTCCGCCCCACTGATCTTCGCCCGTCTCCTCCAGCTCCTCTACAGTAGTCGGGGCTACCTGCCCGACACGGAACCAAGCGACGCCGATTTTGCGGGCTCCGGCATTAGTTGCATTGACACCCTGGCCTAGCCGGATAGTAATGTCTTCTTCCTGACTGGCACTGTCACCGCCAGCGGTGCCAGAAAATACCGCTCTGCCAAGTCCTTCGTCCACACTAATTCCAACCAGGTCGCCACTTTTGAGGATACGCCGGCGTGACTCAAAGTACTGCTTCAATCCTGCAAATAGCGCTGGTTGAAGGACCCGATCCATTGAGAGAGGAGTGGAAACCTTGAGCAATGTGACCTCTTTTGCCAAAGGCGGGTTTTTAGCAGCAGTGTTCTTCATTTGATGCAAAAGACCAGGTTTGGAGGAGCCATTAAGAGTAGCGAAGGTCATAGGAGAGATCCGTAGGTACTTGGGATTTTCAATGTTACCAAGAAGCAACGGGGGAACGAAGACCGAAGGAGTCAAGCGGGCGGGTGGACGTTGCGAAATACTGGACCGGCGTTCGCTTGAGTGATTAATGGCATACCGCGGCTTGGAGGACGGAAGACCCGAAAGACCAAAAATCTTAACTGGGCGCCAATCGCCTGAGTCTTCAGGGGAGTCATTAAAACTCCCAAATTTGAGGGAAGCGAACATGTTCAGCTGGGGCTCCTCGGCAGCTTCGATTCTGACCCAATCGCCGGAGAAGCATCCGATCTTGGCGAGGGTGCTGATATCTACAAAGACAAAAGAGTCGACGTCTTCGTCGTCGCGAGGCCGGGGGTGCAGCACTTCATTTGGGACTTGTTGCAGGA